ACCCAAACCCCGATGGCAAACACCGGGGGAGGGGTGAGGGGGGGGGGGGGTACGCAGGGATACATAGCGCGTGGTCTCCGCTCCAACAAAGTGCATTGCTCCTTACCTCGTTCTGCAAGAGATGCGAGGAATCAAGCTCTGCAATTTCCACCAATCACCGGTTGTGTAGCAAAACGGATGGGTCACCGCTGTGACGTCGGGTTCTTGACGAAAAACTGTTGACCAACCACCCCCCGATCCTACTGCGCAGAGAACCGCCCCCCCCAGAGTCTCCGACCACACCCGGACAATCCCAACAACAAATAAAAACGAAGACTATTTCCTCTAAAATTAGCATTAACTGGTACCACACAATAAGTATCATGAAGCACCTGATCGGTCGCCTGCTCTCCGTCCGACTTGAGGAAAGGCCTGGCGCGGACGTACACCCGCACGCTGCCCGTCAGGTCCAGGATGGCGTTGTGCATGCGGCGGCGCTCCTCCTCCCCCTCCTCCACCTGCTTCTCGAGCACCCTGGTTCGCTCCAGGGAGGCCTCCAGCCGAGTCCTCAGGCTGGACAGCTCCTGCTGCCTGATGCGAGCCGCCTCCGACGAGAGTGTGGCGTCTGATAGCGCAACCGCCGATCCTGTTTCCGCTGGAAGGCAAGGGGCGGGGGGGGGGGCAAGGACGACAACAAAGGCGAGAGGGGGTTGAAAAAGAACAATGTGGTACCGTAGCACGCAGGGTTGGTTCGGGGTTGCTTCCGCCAAGTAAGGAGAGGATGTGTTGAGGTGACTTCCTTGTTCGGGTGAACAAGAACAGTGCAATGTGTAGTAAAAGCGGCCTCTCTCGCTCCTCGATGCGAGCCGCCCACTCCGTCAGAACGTGGGTGAGGAGAGTGCCTTATTTTAAAGCACGTCTCGTGCATGGGGTCAGATCGATTCTGCGGCGGCGGTCATGTTGTATTATTCAATAGCCACATGGGATACTGTGTTGCTGCTGCGCCGTGGGGAAGAAAAGAAAAAAAAAAAAACACACACACACAGGTGAAACGACTGGAGGGAAACCTAGGCCCTACTGCTGTACCATGCGGACGCACAGAAAAGAATGCCGGGAAAATACGCCCTGAAGGGGAGACATCAGCAACTGCGGGATTCACCCTCCCCCCCCCCCTCCTGCCCCCTGTATTCCATACACCCACACATCCATCATGCGGCGTTCAGGGCCTGCCCCGCCCGTACAACACACACTACACAAACCCCAACATTCCCCCAATATTCCAGAGCTCGCGACTAGACCCATGGATGCGGGTTGCCATGTGTACTCTTTGTTTTTCGTTAGCTAATAGCTTCGCGCGACGAGCAAAGGTAATGACGGCATCAACACACCTTGCGCTGTCACCATGGCCCGGCCGCCGGTGTCATTGGTTGGGCTTAGCTCGGACATGGAGGCCGCCACCACGCGATCGGCCTGGCTGCAGATCGTCTCCTGAAGCCTGTCCATGAAGGAGCAAAAAAAGAAAAGGCAGCGAAGTCAATGACCCCAAGCGACAGAAAAGACGAATGACAAAAAAAAACGCAGGGACGGGTATCCATTCAGCGGGAGGAGAGAGGGCAAACATTAACATTCTAAGGTATAATTAGCCGTTGTCATGGCAGCGAAGCAGACAAGACGCCAACGAAAGTGATCGTCGATGGCATGTCCGACCGAACAGAACACAGCCAGAGAGATGCCAAGACAAGCAGGGGCCGCAGCGCTTACACCCGTATGCTTGCACTCGATTACTGCTGTAACGCGTACGATGAGGGCTTACCACACGCCGCAAGAAATATTGGTGCACCATCTTCTCCATGATTTAACTAACAACGGACTGACAGATGTCGTCAAAGTGTCGGTATGCCGGCGCGGTGGATCGGCGCATGGTCTGCGACCACTGGTCCTCCTGGATACCTAGCTCTGTCTTTCGCGACTCACGGTCGCGGTTTAGTGCGAAACTGGCGCTTACGGCTGACTGCGGTCCTTCCCATGGATTGGTCTCCCTCCCCGGACTGAAAACGCCATCAAACAGGTAACGTTACTTCTACAAACATACAGCACCATGGTCAATATGCTATTCCGTGGATCCGCGTTCGTGTTGCAAGTCTAGTGTCGCCAAGTTGAAAACGAAAAGCTCGCACGTGTACAAGAAAAACCGACGGCAGCGCCTCACCGCTGCATTTCCATTCTCAAGTTGGAGATGTCGTCCCCAGCTTTACGCTCCTTCTCCTGCAGTTGTTTTCTCGCCCTGAGCGCAGACGTACATATACCCAATCAGACAGGCAGGCAGCTTCAGCACGAAGAAAAGCCGACTCTTTCAAAGGTGAAAAGACAGCAGCTGCCAGCAGAGTTATATAAACCTCGAGCAAAACTGTGTGGAAAGCTTCCGTAAACACTCTACACTCGAGTTTTGATCGGAGTGTGTAACCACCCCGACACCCAACCCCACAAGGGAGGGTAGGTTAAGGCCTTGTCGATGCTTGTGCGGGAGAGAGTGCTTGTGGTTTCACCACAGCAGCAGCAAGATCTCACCAACAACAACATACCCTTGCCCCCCCCCCCCCCCGCACTTACCCCCCCTTTTGGTGAACGAGCTCTGTCTGCCCCGGCGTGAACTGAACCCAAATGGCCCCCAACTCCCAATTTCAAAACCCCCGCTGAATCTCCCAAAAAAAAAAGGCCCCCCCCACGGGGAGGAACCCCGAAGCCCCCTTTGTGAAAAATCCCCGGGAAAATCCAAAAAAAAAACATACCCCACACCTTGGGTAAGGAACCCGAAGCCCCCCTTGTGAAAAAAAAACCAGCCACTACCCAAAAAAAGACCCCCCTAAATTCTTTGTCCAGAAACCCCAAAAAACCCCCCTGAAACCTAAAGGGGAAACCCTCAAAAAAAAAACACATAATTTTAACCCATTATTGGTCCGGAAACCCGAGGGCCCCTTTATGAAAAAAAAAAATGAAACACATGCCGAAAAAAAAAAAACCCCAAAAAGGTTACT